TGATTTCATACGTGGCAAATGGGTATTCATTACCAATAAGAACAGGAAAAGAAAATACTATGAATAAGTGATAACTTTTATATAAAAAGATAAATCGATGTCAGAATTGTCATTGTACTTGCATACATACATATGCGTGTATGTGTATTTGTATTTATTAATATATATTTAAAATTAAAGCGCTGTCTACAAAGATTTCTGGGTGTCGTAGGGACAGTCGGAACCCTGGACTGTCTTCGTGAAACGAGAGACGTCGACGCCGATATTCTTAAAGGCGGCCTCGCAGCGTCTCAGGTATTGGTCAGAAAGTTTCGGCGACCGGGAGAAGATGAAGGAGAAGTCGGAGTAGTATCCGAAGTTGTATTCGGTGCAGGAGTAGATGCAGGAGAAGTTCTCGTAATCCGTGTCGAGGATGACATAGGGAGCGATCCAAGCTGGAAAAGGGAAATAAGAGATCGTCAGATATTTCAGGACAAAGAATAATAATTCAATTTCTGCTAATAAATTTCAGTATTTGTTCATTAAATGCAAGAACAGAGATTATCCCATTGAATACTCACATCCTTCATAGTCGACGGAGAGATGAGGGTCTCCAAGAGGCATGGGAAGAATCTGGCCGTTGCGCCTCATGAGGTTACCGTCAGCGTTGATGCCAGTAGACTTGGCGGTGAATTTGTTTCCATCTGTAAATCAGTCACAGGTAATCACTATTAAAAACAAATAATCCACTAATAATAGACTCATGAAATCAGGGCATATCTGAACATTATAAGGGTCCACTTAATGAAAATCCATCTTACCAAAAGAATATTCGTTGCGGGACGCACTGCTTGAGGAGCTGGTAAGGGTTGTTTGTGAGGGCAATTTCGTACCAAACACCAGCATACTGAAAACAGGAAAGAACAAGCACTGTATGTCTAGTACCTAAAATTCATATGTAATATCAATTACTAAATATCCAATTATATAACAAGGAGCTGGTAAGGGTTGTTTGTGAGGGCAATTTCGTACCAAAACACCAGCATACTGAAACAGGAAAGAACAAGCACTGTATTTCTAGTACCTAAATTCATATGTAAATATCACATTACTAAATATCCAATTATATAACTGCATAATGAATAAACTCTATGTAAATTTAACATACCTTGGGATGATTAGGAATCTGTTCATCAAAGAGTGATTTCTCGTCCACCACAGGACATCTTCCTGGAACGACGAAGTCGGGGATCTTGTCAGCAGCGACGGCTGCTACAACAGCAAGGAAGAACAGAGATGCATTCATGATGATCACAGTTGATACTTCTGCCGTAACAAATGCGGCTGCTGCCTTATATAATCCAACCCTGCTTACAGTTCCTGTGAGGGGGTTTCAAGGTGTTTCCAGATTGTTAGATTACATTACGAATTAACGTAAAACAAAGATGATATTGCATTCTGTTAATCAGTAACTCTTTTCCCTGGTACTAGTATGAAAGTACATAAACTAACATAGATTGCGCAGCAGAAAGAAAGCAAATAATATAAGTCGAAACTGACAACAGAGGTTGACCACCAAAGCTCCGCCCACGAAAACGGGATATAAGAACGCCAGGTACTCTTGCAAGGAACACATCTGAGAACCATCATGTTCACCACACTCGTAGCTGCTGCCCTCGTGGCCCTTGTCGCTGCTGACGGCATCCCAGACTTCGTTGTACCTGGAAGATGCGCTAAAGTGGCCAACCAGGACAAGTTCGATCTTCGCAGGGTAAATACTTGTATTCTTTTGCATATGCTCTATATTTTGTTGGTCTAAATATAGTTATCTTTATAATTTGAAGGAGTTTGTACATGTTTCAGCCTCATTTCTTTTTCCCCAACAGTACTCCGGCCGCTGGTATCAGACCCAGATCATCGACAACGCCTACCAGCCATACACTCGCTGCATCCACTCCAACTACGACTACTCTGACTCTGACTACGGCTTTAAGGTGACCACAGCTGGATTCAGCCCCAACAACGAGTACCTGAGACTGCAGGGCAAGATCTACCCCACAAAGGACTTCCCAGCTGCCCACATGCTCATTGATTTCCCTACTGGTACGTTTCTGCCAAATCATCTGTAATTTCTTGCATTGGGAAAATGATGAGTTGATAATGTCTACTATATCATCTGTTAATATTCTTTTTCTTTTGTTTTAGTTTTCGCCGCTCCCTACGAAGTGATCGAGACTGACTACGAGACATACTCGTGCGTATATTCCTGCATCGACTGGAACGGCTACAAGTCCGAGTTCGGCTTCGTCTTCTCCCGCACCCCACAGACTTCCGGTCCAGCGAACGACAAGTGCGCCTCCGTCTTCCGCAAGAATGGAGTCGACTTCGCCTTATTCAATGACGTTGCTCATACGGCCGAATGTGTCTACAGAGCTTAATTCGTTACAGTTTTATACTTTATTTTATTTTATTATTATTATTTTTTTATATAAACAACAAACGATATATTTTATATATGAATGAATTATGATGTCCTTATCGAATGATGTGCGTTTTTTTTTGCTTCAGATAATAAAAAAACGTTATCGTATACAGCGGTATGATATCCTTCTGTTCATGAACTTTTATTATTATGGTATAACAATGGAGTAGTTCTCAAAAATGTATACTAAAGATATAATTTCAGGAAGATTAGATATTTCAATACTCAATTAACAAATCTTATAAAAAAGAGAAGAAAAAACTAGCACCAAAATACGACTTAAGTGGAATGACAATGCATTTGAATAAATCTGATGATGAAGCATTTACCTGAAAAAAAATCCTGCAATGAAGGATATCATTGATGGAAACATTCAGTACCGAACTGACGTCTAATAGATATTGCTATTATTTAATTCTATATACCTTGTGGTTCAATGAAATTGTTTTGATATATTCACCCAAATGAGAATAACTTATATAATCTTCATACTTCCAGCAGTCTAAAGGAATTCCTTCCATACAAACTACGCGATTGTATTACACGAAAAAAGTAGTATGGATGCTTTGCAAGGTGGAAGATGATAAATATCTAATTGTTTCTTTCACTGTATACTTGCTTATCTATTTCTTTATTACTGTGTATGCATAAATACCCCCCCCCCGCCGCGTGTGTATGTATGCATACATAATTCTATATATATATTCATACATACATACACACACACACACACGCATACATTTATATATATATATGTTTATGTGTGTGTGTATTTATTTATGCACTAGATGAAACAAACGCATTTTCCGGAGTTCATTGTGACAAATTCAGGAAATGGCATATATAAAGATGTGAATGATCTTAAAATGCAAGATATAAGTGATTAAATTTTCATTGGAATTACATGAATGTGTAATACAAACTTGTCAGTCATTCATTCTCATGTTTTTTTTCTACGGAAGAATTTTTAAATCGTGTAGTATGTAATCAATATTCCACATCTTCAAAGATGAAACAAAGGATACAAGGTAAATATTACCATTTCTATCTTTAAATTCAAGTGTCACAAATAGCTCATAATACCTCCTATCATCATAGTGGAACCAAATAATAAAATATTAAATCACGCGATTTATTTATTAGAGAATTCAGTTACATAACAATATTGTCATATCGTTTGCGTATATATATTTTATGATGAATAGGTATATTTAAAGGGATTTCTGGGTATCGTAGGGACAGTCGGAACCCTGGACTGTCTTCCCGAAGCGGGTGACATCGACACCAATCTTCTTAAAGGCGGCCTCGCAGCGTTTCAGGTATTGGTCAGAAAGGCTCGGCGACCGGGAGAAGATGAAGGAGAAGTCGGAGTAATATCCGAAGTTGTATTCGGTGCAGGAGTAGATGCAGGAGAAGTTCTCGTAATCGGTGTCGAGGATGACATAGGGAGCGATCCAAGCTGGAAAAGGGAAATAGAGATCGTTAGATATTTCCGGACAAAGAATCTGCTAATAAATTTCAGTATTTGTTCATTAAATGCAAGAACAGAAATTATCCTAGTGAGTACTCACATCCTTCATAGTCGACGGAGAGATGAGGGTCTCCAAGAGGCATGGGAAGAATCTGGCCGTTGCGCTTCATGAGGTTACCATCAGCGTTGATGCCAGTAGACTTGGCGGTGAATTTTTGTCCATCTATAAATAAGTAATAGGTAATTATTATCACAGTATATCCGCTAATACCATCAGTTAAATAAATAGCAGGTTATATATTGACATCAGAAATGTCCACTAAATTAATACCCGTCTTACCAAAAGAATATTCGTTGCGGACGCACTGCTTGAGGAGTTGGTATGGGTTGTTTGTGAGGGCAATTTCGTACCAAACACCAGCATACTGAAATAAGAAATAATGTTACTTTAACAACCAAATGCGTGTTGGCACCTTATTACAAATTCACATGTAAATACTTAACAATATATTCATTACATATAATCAGTAATTAAATACACACGCGTTCTCATTAAATTTAATATACCTTAGGATGGTTAGGAATCTGTTCATCGAAGAGTGATTTCTCGTCCACCACAGGACATCTTCCTGGAACGACAAAGTCGGGGATCTTGTCAGCTGCAACTACTGCCACAAAGGCGAGGAAGAATACAGCAGTGTTCATGGTTCTTCTCTGATGTCTAAACGTGGATTGTGCTGCAGCAGAAGCGGTTCCAGTTTTATATTGCATAGGTTTGCCTGAGAACAGTAACTCGATAGTTGCTCGAGATGCCATTACATTTATCTGTATAGAAAATGTACGAGGAAAAAAGAAAAGGTTATTGATTGATATAATTTTAGTTCTTAGTCTTGCAATATTAAACAAATACTTAGAAATTAAGAAAGAAGGATTTCAATCCATCGATAAAAAGATGAAGAGAAATCAACGACGAGGTATGGCATTAGTGCCCTCGACGCCCCGCCTCCAAAGATGCGCCTCCTCCCACCGGTGAAAGTGTATATAAGATGGACGCGTAAGTGCATTTTCAGACTTGAGAAATCACCATGTATTCCACACTCGTCGCTGCTGCCCTCGTGGCTCTTGTCGCTGCTGACGGCATCCCAGACTTCGTTGTACCTGGAAGATGCGCTAAAGTGGCCAACCAGGACAAGTTCGATCTTCGTAGGGTAAAATTCTTTTCATTTCTTACACCTGCATTGATTGGCATATTGTTTTAGGCATAACGCGAGTGTACTGGAAATGTTCTAACCCTCTTTGTTTCCCCGACAGTATTCTGGCCGCTGGTATCAGACCCAGATCATCGACAACGCCTACCAGCCATACACTCGCTGCATCCACTCCAACTACGACTACTCTGACTCTGACTACGGCTTTAAGGTGACCACAGCTGGATTCAGCCCCAACAACGAGTACCTGAGACTGCAGGGCAAGATCTACCCCACAAAGGACTTCCCAGCTGCCCACATGCTCATCGATTTCCCTACTGGTACGTTTCTGCCAAATCATCTGTAATTTCTTGCATTGGGAAAATGATAATGAGTTGATAATGTTATATATATATATATATATATATATATATATATATATATATATATATATATATATATATATATATATATATATATATATATATATATATATATATATATATATATATATATATATATATATATATATATATATATATATATATATATATATATATATATATATATATATATATATATATATATATATATATATATATATATATATATATATATATATATATATATATATATATATATATATATATATATATATATATATATATATATATATATATATATATATATATATATATATATATATATATATATATATATATATATATATATATATATATATATATATATATATATATATATATATATATATATATATATATATATATATATATATATATATATATATATATATATATATATATATATATATATATATATATATATATATATATATATATATATATATATATATATATATATATATATATATATATATATATATATATATATATATATATATATATATATATATATATATATATATATATATATATATATATATATATATATATATATATATATATATATATATATATATATATATATATATATATATATATATATATATATATATATATATATATATATATATATATATATATATATATATATATATATATATATATATATATATATATATATATATATATATATATATATATATATATATATATATATATATATATATATATATATATATATATATATATATATATATATATATATATATATATATATATATATATATATATATATATATATATATATATATATATATATATATATATATATATATATATATATATATATATATATATATATATATATATATATATATATATATATATATATATATATATATATATATATATATATATATATATATATATATATATATATATATATATATATATATATATATATATATATATATATATATATATATATATATATATATATATATATATATATATATATATATATATATATATATATATATATATATATATATATATATATATATATATATATATATATATATATATATATATATATATATATATATATATATATATATATATATATATATATATATATATATATATATATATATATATATATATATATATATATATATATATATATATATATATATATATATATATATATATATATATATATATATATATATATATATATATATATATATATATATATATATATATATATATATATATATATATATATATATATATATATATATATATATATATATATATATATATATATATATATATATATATATATATATATATATATATATATATATATATATATATATATATATATATATATATATATATATATATATATATATATATATATATATATATATATATATATATATATATATATATATATATATATATATATATATATATACTATTATAATCTACTAATATTCTTTTTCTTTTGTTTTAGTTTTCGCCGCTCCCTACGAAGTGATCGAGACTGACTACGAGACGTACTCGTGCGTGTATTCCTGCATCGACTGGAACGGCTACAAGTCCGAGTTCGGCTTCGTCTTCTCCCGCACCCCACAGACTTCCGGTCCAGCGAACGACAAGTGCGCCTCCGTCTTCCGCAAGAATGGAGTCGACTTCGCCTTATTCAATGACGTTGCTCATACGGCCGAATGTGTCTACAGAGCTTAGACATGAAATAAATATACATATATTTTTTATCATGATTATTTTTGGTTACTATAAACGATGTATACAAATAAGATATGATTATTTCATATCAAATTAAGCGACTTAAATAAACCTAAGACGAAAATATACGGTATATTATCCTTCTATATTTCATTATTCATAGTAATTGTATAGAATGCACTAATCTTGCTAAAACTGATATGTTTATTTCAATAATACATTATCTTCTCTCGACATACAGTAAAGCATGAAAAGAAAAGAAAAGAATAAAAAAACAATGAAAATAAATGAAAACATCGAAAAAAATAATATGAAAATGAGATACTTCAATAAATCCAAATGCATAGAATCTGGCTTTCATATGTATAACCTGAATTTGTTTCCATCTGTAAATCAGTCACGGGTATTCATCATTAAAAATAGTAGAGCCATTAATAACAGCTGAAATTCTCAATACCCCTTTTAAAATCAAACCAGTAATTCTTTTGGATGCTGAAAATGTGCTGCTTTCATTATATTCTTATATACAATTTCAATGAACAAATGAACAAAATTGAAAAAAGAGATCACGTGAACCCAATATCCCTTAGGAGATGACTGAAAAATGTCTTCCTCCAAGCTGCAGGTAATATATGCATATTCCCTTGCCTATTTCGAGGATATTCTGAAAACAAAGTAGAAGCAGTAAAAATAGACAGCGTAGATTAATAAATGCACACATATAATATGTGTATATATATATATACATATATATGTATATATATACATATATATGTATATATATATACATATATATATATATATATATATATATATTTATATATATATACATATTTATATATATATATATACATATATATATACATATATATATATATATATATATATATATACATATATATATATATATATATATATATATATATATATATAATATAGCTACAAAACACACAAACACGTTTTTTTCTTTGTTATTTCTCCATCATCATTCGGTTATTTTCTTCAGACATATTCTATAGACAGTGGAAGTGATCCTGCAATAAATAATAACGAAATTGGAGTTGCTGATAATTATCCTATTTCAGTTCACTTGCATGTTAATTAATATATTTTTCTCTATCATCTAACTTGAAAAAAAGAAATAAAATGAATAAATAAACAAATAAATAAATAAAGCGAAGTCTGAAAATCAGATCGCCAGACTAGAAATGTCGTACACAAACCACATAAATTCTGTTGCCTGCTGCTTTTTATCAGCTGCAATGACCGCAACCGAAAGGCTGAACAAGGAAAAAGTCGGCAAAGGTTTTGACTTTCTGTTGGTGTCTGAAACCGGTTTGTGTTATAAAAAGATTACTGTTGCGAAAGAGGAAGTTCCTGAATTTAAGGTGCAAGCAAGAACGAGTTGCAGCTGATACCAAGATTATTAACTTGAATCATAGATTTGATGAGAGATACACATTAGGTTTTATCCTTATTGTTCTTATAGTACACGAAGCTAGAGGTATGGATAAAGAGAAATAAACCGCAATCTTTGACTAACAGTTCGAAGACTAGAAAATCAATGCCCAATGATTTTTTGGCACTGGTCTTTCGACGCTCCTCCTCCGTGCATGTTTCTCCGCCCACCGGCTTAAAGGAATATAAAACGGAGGCTTACTTTCCATGTAACTGCAAGTAACTAAACCGAGAAAATGTAGTACCTTCTGCAAAGTTCGAATTTTGCAAGTCTGAAGTCCCCCTCTTGTCGTGAGCGAATCTAGTGTTGCAAATTCTTGGAAAACGGGGAAAAATAGTGTTTAGGAACTTGGAACAGTGGAAAGACAAAGACAAAGCATAATCTGGATATTCTTATGGAAATTGTGACCAAACGTTTTTGTGTCTGATTCGACTGTTTATGCAGAATATATTCTGTAGTTCGTTCGTCGACTAGTGGTGTTGTGTAGCAATTATCTTACCGGTGATTATTTCTATTGATATGCTTGAATTTGGACAAACGTATATTCAAGAACAAATATACATATATCGTAGGATTAGCATATTTTTAGGTAAAAACAAACCTTAGTACTGATATGTGAATACAAGAAAATAATCGTGTATATTTTCGTCAACATCAATTTGGGAGTACATTCAACTAATGTTGTGAATATATATATATATATATATATATATATATATATATATATATATATATATATATATATATACAACATTACAGTATCACCATCACTACCTAGACTGCATATATCATAACTATTAATATCGTGAAATACTTGTTTAAGCTGAAAATTAAAGGTGATATAGCCGAGAAAAACACTCCTCTATCGCCAAATTTAATTAGATTTCACCTGATGAAGAGTTTGGACGACCTCGACCCCCAAAGTACCGCAGCTTCATAACAACTTCGAAAAAACGCGGGAAACTTCGGTGACGTCAGCGTAGGTACTCGATTCCCACGGACTTCTTCCTAGATCATTTGTTAGGCAGTTTCTACAAGTTTCTTTCATGAATTCTCTCCTTTTTTCCTCTCTCTCTCGGTTTTTCTTTCTGTAATAATTTATCTATAGACACCGTTTCTTGTTTATTAATACATTCCATCTATCTCTTTTGTGATTTATCTCTCATGCATTTACTCCTTCCCCACCCCGTTTCTTTCTCTTTCTCTTAATTTTGTTTTAAGTCTCTCTCTCTTTCTCTTTCTCTGACATTATTACTTTTTCTTATTTATCTAGTCACTCTCACTCTTTCCACCTATTGGTTCTGTGGTCCGGTTTACTTTACGAGCTCTTTCCATCAAAAATACTTCTCTGGTTAAATTCATTGCTTTAATTTGTATTATCGAACGAGTTATGTGGGAAAATTAGAGACAGATTCAGAATTTTGTGGTTTTCTTAAATACGATTCCTGACAGTAACATTGCAAATCATGCTAAAAAAAGCATTTTAGTCTGTAAGGATTAAACTGAATCGTTTCCCTTGCTATAACAAGTTATCCTTTTTATTTCTATAATAATTGCAAAGTTATTTACATGTTGGTTTATTAACTGTAATGGTTAAATACAAAGGATGGAGCAAGAGATTTGTAAACTGATAGAACGAATAACTCTCATGTAAAAAAAAAGAAATAATAATAATAATATATATATATACATACATACATACATACATATATATATATATATATATATACACACACACACACTTCATATCACAATGAAGATCTAGAAACTCATTTTTCAGGGTGCCTGAATAAATTTACACATTAATCTAAATACATATCTGTACACTTACATATGTACTGCCTTCTTTAACTCGATAGAAAACGCTGAAAATATAAACTGAATTACTAAATATCATTCCAACAACTTCATACCCCAGTACAACAAAGAATTAAAAAATAATAATAATAAACGTAAAGTGCTTGGGACAAACCGGTTTACTGCAACTGGGACCGCACTCCACATCCCACGTGTTTTAGCTGGCCTGAGGGTCTCGCTGTTGCCAGGTCTTCTTCCCCTTGCTAAGTCTGACCCGCCGTCATTTAAATCCCTATAATATTTATTTCTATAAAGATTTATATAATGTCTACGTATTGTCTAAGAGTATCATGATTGTTTTCACTCTTAGGAACATTTAAATGCATTTCATTGCATATGCGTAAGGTTGAAGACCTGCTTACTGACATTTAACTGAAGGTCATTGTGTCTGTTTATATTTCTAGACATTGTGTTTCACTATAAAGTGGCCGAGACTGACTACGAGACGTACGGCTATTATATTTCTAGACATTGTTTCACTATAAAGTGGCCGAGACTGACTACGAGACGTACGGCTACAAGTCTGAGTTCGCCTCCGTCTTCAGTGCAATATCTCACACAACCAAATTTATTTACAGCTTACTTCCATGGTTACGCACGAAATTTTATATCAACAGACTGTTATGTCATATTTCGGCGTTTGTAGATAACAGATAATATGGAGACAGGATCATGTATACGTCATGATATATATACATATCTACACACACATATATGTACACACACACACACACACACATATGTATATATATCTTTTTAGTATTACTATAGAATAAAATAAACTTAAAATTCAGACTGACAGGTTTGAAAAAAAAAATCGTATAAGATTTTTTTACTATTTCTATTTTATTTATTTTTTAATTTTCGCATTTATCCGCTTTGTCCAATTATCAACACGAAAATGAATATCAAGTTTCTTTAGAGTTGAATAGTTTTTTTATTATGTAACGTAAATTGACATCGCTTAAACCTAATGTGTATATTTACATTTTACCAAAAAAGAGGCAATTTTAGAGAGATTTCTGGGTGTTGTAGGGACAGTCGGAACCCTGGACTGTCTTCGTGAAACGAGAGACGTCGACGCCGATATTCTTAAAGGCGGCCTCGCAGCGTCTCAGGTATTGGTCAGAAAGGCTCGGCGACCGGGAGAGGATGAAGGAGAAGTCGGAGTAGTATCCGAAGTTGTATTCGATGCAGGAGTAGATGCAGGAGAAGTTCTCGTAATCGGTGTCGAGGATGACATAGGGAGCGGTCCAGGCTGGAAAAGGGAAATAAGAGATCGTCAGATATTTCAGGACAAAGAATAATATTTCAATTTCTGCTAATAAATTTCAGTATTTGTTCATTAAATGCAAGAACAGAGATTATCCCATTGAATACTCACATCCTTCATAGTCGACGGAGAGATGAGGGTCTCCAAGAGGCATGGGAAGAATCTGGCCGTTGCGCCTCATGAGGTTACCGTCAGCGTTGATGCCAGTAGACTTGGCGGCGAATTTGTTTCCATCTGTAAATCAGTCACAGGTATTCATCATTAAAAATAGTAGAGCCATTAATAACAGATTTCCGAAATCGGGATATATTTACAGCTTAGAAGCGTATGTTAAATGAAAATCCATCTTACCGAAGGAATATTCGTTGCGGACGCACTGCTTGAGGAGTTGGTATGGGTTGTTTGTGAGGGCAATTTCGTACCAGACGCCAGCATACTGAAATGAAGGGACGATGATGATATTATCCATTTTTTTAGTCAATTATTTTTGTACTAACACTGGACTCGTTGCTTTATATATTGTATATA